GTGAGAGGGCCAAGAGGGCCACTGTCCCCACGCCTGGAAGAGGGTGTAGGGACGCCCACCTGTGCACGGGCTGGAAGGGGCAGGGTGGCCTCTCCGGCCTGAAGGGGACTTTGTGTGTTGGGGGTGGATTACAGGGGCTTCTTTCCAGGCCCGAGTCCGTGTGGTCTTCCCTTTTCCCCCCGCCCAGGGAGCTCCCAGCATGACCCTGAGAACAGGCAGGGTCAGGCCCCCTTCCCCTCTGCCCTCCCTCCAGCGGAGCCTGGGGGCTGTCCCACCTGCGGGCTCAGCCTGGGCCGTGTGCTGGCAGGAGCTGGAAGCCATCAGACTGAAGCTGTGGGCCATGGAGCAGGCCCAGCGACCGGAGCCGCCCGGGGAGCAGGGCCCAGAGGGGGAAGAGGAAGACGCCAGGGCCCTGCTGGCCGGGCAGCTGCTGAGCCCCGAGACGGGTAGGAACCAGAGGGCCAGGCTGACCCCTTCCCTGGGCTGTGGCCCGCAAGTCCTCGGGCACGAGGGTAAATACGGATGAGCTGCGAGCTGCTGCAGGAAAAGTGTGGGCTCCCGGGGAAAGGCCAGGGTTTCCATGAGGTCCGGCCTGGCAGTGGGTCCTTCTACATAGGCCCCAAGGGGTGCTCTTCCCCAAGAACCCAGGTGCCCCTCTTCCCCGAGGAGCGAGGACTGAGCCACCAACGTGAGGTGCCTGCCCTTAGCAGCTGCCGGGAGGCCCCTGCCAGGCCAAGCCCCCTGGTCCTGAAGCCCCTCTCTCCACAGACAGCCCCACGGAGGCGGTGGAGGCCGATCACAGATCCGTCTACGTGGGCAATGTGAGTGGGGGGAGGGGGGCGAGGGGGGGTCGGCCCGGCAGCACTGGGTCTGCAGCCGCCTCCTGGCTGTGAGGATTAAAGGAAGGGACAGTATGGGTAGCAAACTCAGAAGCCACATAGGCCTGGAAGCGAGAAGCAGGAGCGGGGGGGCTCTGATGAGGGGGCTGTCCCCATGAGGGAGCGTGGACCCTCTGTGGTCAGGCCTGATTTCCCACTGTGGGCTGGGATTCGGAATTTCCACGTGAAATCTCCCAGTGGGCAGATTATTGGCAACGAGTTCCACTTGAAAAAGCCACGCACCCTTTGCATAGGCCAGTAAACTTGGGGAGGATTCATCTGGATATCCAGTCCACTCCCCCGGCAGGGGGCCGCATAGAGGTCTAGGCTACCACCCTCACCCTGGGGCCCAGTCACCCCCTCTCTACCAAGAAAACGTGCTGCAGGAGACCCTGGGAGGCGGGGGCCCCTGCAGAAGGCCCCCCACCAGGGTCCATGCCTGTAGGTGGACTATGGGGGCACAGCCCAGGAGCTGGAGGCCTATTTCAACCACTGCGGGGAGATCCAGCGGGTCACCATCCTGTGCGACAAGTTCTCCGGACACCCCAAGGGGTCGGTTGGGGCTTCGGGGAGGGGCCGGGCGCCCAGGAGGCGGGGACACCTCTGCGTGGGTGAGCGTGGGTGAGCATGGCCCTCACCTGCCTCTGCCTTGCCCCAGCTATGCATACATAGAGTTTGCCACCGAGAGCTCGGCCCAGGCCGCTGTGGAGCTGGACAAGAGCGTCTTCCGAGGCCGGGTCATCAAGGTGTGTGTCCCCCACCAGTCACTGCGGGGGCGGGGGGGTGGGGGGAGCGCTCAGCTCTGAGCTTCTCTACGTTAACCCATTAATCCCCAAGGGGACAGGAAAAGCAGGCAGCTGCCCCAGCCTGACCCTTCTCCAGTGTCCGGTGTTTGGGCACATCCTCCGGCTGGTGTGGGGGCACCTCAGACCCCAGTGGGTTTGGCCTGGGTGTAAGCCCTGGGGAGGCTTCCTTCCTGACCCCCCCTGCAGGGGGAGATGTTGGCTTGACAGGGGCTGGGAACAGGTTAAGATCTGATGCCTCAGGCAGCCCCATGCCCTGGGGCCGCCAGGGCCTGGTGGGTGCTGGGGCCTGTGTTCACCTGCCTGTGAGCCTTCAGCAGGGAAACCCAGGAAGGCTTCCTGGAGGCAGCTTTAGCCCTGGTCTTGGCCCTGGGCTGGGGAGGAGGGTGTGAGAACAGAGGTCTCAGGCGGACTCGGCCTTTGGTTCCAGGTGCTGCCCAAAAGAACCAATTTACCAGGGATCAGCTCCACGGACCGCGGGGGCCTTCGGGGACACCCAGGCGCCAGGGGGGGACCCTTCCCCCACAGCAACTTCCAGGGCGGGGCCCGTTTCAGACCACGGGGGCGGAACCGGTGGGCCGGGCCCTGGGAGGGCGGGATCCTATTGGAGCGGGGCCCGGTGGGCGGGGCTCTGCTGGGCCTGGCTGGGTCCGGTGGGCGGAGCCCTGGAGGCCGCTCGCCCCCCGGCCTCTCTTCGGGCAGGGGGCGCGGAAGATTCCCGCCGTGGTATTCACCGTATTGAAGGGAGGGCCCGATTTTGAGAGTGGGGCTGCCGCTGGGTCAGCAGTAGACAGCCGTGCTCCTCGTGCGACCATTACTCCGCGCAGAATAACTACCCGTCCCCCTTCCCTCGGCGGGAGGACAGCCCAGACCCCACGGCCGAAGCCACCGGTCGCGAAGCAGGGCACGGGGTGGGCCTGGCACGCGGGCTAGTCGGGGCTTTGGAGGGCACCGGGCAAAGCTGCGGGCAGGTGAGGCCCAGGCAGCGTCGGGTCAGCTTCGGGGCGGCATACTCAGGACTGTTCCACTAACGCCTTTTACAGAAAAGTAGAAATGTGTGTCTTACTGGTAAAGCATAAATTATTAAACTTGAATATTTTTTAAAAGCACATGGCAACAGACCGCCCCGCTTTGTTCGCCTCACCCGGACGCTGTTTCCTCGGTGCACACCGTGCAGAGAAGGCGGCGGATGGGCTGCGGCTGTGGATCCCAGACCCAGCTCTACCCCCTTCACTCCTGGCAGCCAAGCGTTAGCTTCGGGGTTTACAGCGTCACCGCCAGCCCCCGCGCCTCACCCGGGCCTGGTGGCCTCCGGGGCACACACTCCGCCGCGACGAGTGACACAGACGTCGCCTTGTGGGTCCTCACCTGTGAGGCTCCGCAGGAGGGTGCGCCCGGGGCACCTGGCGCAAGCCTGGGCTTCTTCACATAGGGACGCAGAGGGGCTTCCGTGACGGGCGCCCTGCCTGCGCTCCTCCCTGTGGCAGACGCCCCGCTCTTTCCCTCCCTGATGGTGCAGCGTGCTTTCTGCCCTCTGACTGAGTTCGGATTGGGGAAAGGAAGCTCTGGGGCCCAGCTGCAGACACACGGGGTCCTGGCCTTAAATAACCACTAACAAATTTCAGCCTGGGCTTTTCTAAAGCAACCCTCTTTGCCGCGTACTATTTATTTATTTATTTATTTATTTTTTGCGGTACGCAGGCCTCTCAGTGTTGTGGGCCCTCCCGTTGCGGAGCACAGTCTCCAGACACGCAGGCTCAGTGGCCATGGCTCACGGGCCCAGCCGCTCCACGGCATGTGGGATCCTCCCGGACTGGGGCACGAACCCGTGTCCCCTGCATCGGCAGGCGGACTCTCAAGCACTGCGCCACCAGGGAAGCCCACCTTGTACTTTTTTGATTATCAGGTCCTTAAGCTATCCACAGGTGGACGGTCCCCAGTCCCCAGTGTCCCCTCTCCAGCACCAGTGAAGTGTTTTCTCGGGAGGGCGCGCCTGTGCTCTCCATCCGCGTGTCCATCTGGCCAGGTTCACACTCCGCTTGCGATCTGGGGTCAGCACTGGCCCTTGTGGTGGGGTGAACCAAATCCCCCCCAAAATATGTCCACATCCTAATCTCCAGTACCTGTGGATGTGATCTTATTTGGAAAAGGGGTTTTTGCACATGTGATTAAGCTAACGATCTGGAGATCTCCCTGGATCACCTGGGTGGCCCTAAACCCAGTGACACACACTGGGTACGAGACACACCGACACACGGAGAACGTGATGTGGAGACAGAGGCAGAGGTTGCGGTGATGCGTCCATAAGCCAAGGAACTCCAACAGTCGCTGGCAGCCATCAGAAGCTGGAGAGGCTGAAAAGACCCTCCCTCAGAGCCTGCAGAAGGAACCAGCCCTGCCATCACCTTGATTTCTGACTCTGGCCTCCAGAAACGTGAGAGTATAGATTTCTGTTTTCATGTGCACACGTGCACGCGTGCACGCACACACACACACCACCACTGGCCCCTGGAGAATGTGGGTAGGAGGGGCTGAGTGGCAGGGACCTTGCCAAGGCTGCCGGGTGGCTCAGGGCCGAGCCAGGCCTGGATCATGTGCAGTTGGGGGCTGCAGGAGAGGGAGGCCTCCCAGACGTAGTTCCTGGAGCTGAACTTTATGAAGCACCAGCTCCTGCCGCGCTGTACCTTGTGCCAGTCTCCTCCTTGGCGAGGATGTGCATTGGTCTTGATGCGTTCATTGTGCATTTTGCTTTTGTGGAAGGACCTGCAGACAGGCTTCTATCGCAAGGAATTGGTCCCTTTTCAGATGTATCTTCTTAATCCCTTCTGCGTGGCCACTGCGAGGAGAGTGGGCCCTTGAGTCCCTCCTTTCCTGTGGATTTCAGGCCCAAGCAGCCCATGTGGGCGGCCAGGGCTCCGACCCACACTTTCTCAGCTATGCCCAGAGAAAGCCAAGACACGCAGGATCCTCTTGGCTGTCTGGCCCGGGGAAGAAGGGAGAAGGAATGCTGATGGGGAGGGAGGACAGAACTTCAGCAGAAGCACCTGGAGCAGCAGCCAAGGGCTGAGCAGGTGGCGGGGGATGGGCAGGCAGGTGGCCCTCAATGAGGCGAGCCTCACAGTACAGAGATGCAAAAAGTTAAGATGGAACTGACATCTGACAGTTCTGTTGGCAAAGCAAAGGCCAGCAGATTACATCTAAGCCTTGATTTTCTCAGACCTAAAACGGGAATGCTACCTGACAATGCACGTGAAAAACGTCGAATGTAAACCCATTATGGGTCGCTCTGGCTCCATCTACAGAAAAACCCAAACAGCAGTGGCTTCAAGATAGGGGTTTCATTTCCTCATTAAAAAAAATGCTGAACATAAGTAGTCCAGGGCTGGTATGTCAGCAAAGACCCAGCCTCCTTCTAGCTTTCTGCTCTCCATCCTCAGGGGATGAATGTTGCCTGCATGCTCTCAAGATAGCTGCCTGGGCTCCAGCCATCACATCTAAGTTCCAGGAAGGAGGAAGGGTAAAGATAAAGGTACTGCCAGCTGAATCCCCCTTTTAAGTGTCCTTCCTGCAAGTGCCTCCCAACGCCATCCACCTAAATGCCATAACTACCTACCCTTGTGAGGGCAGGAAGTATATTTTGTCTAGCCAATTGTCCCCAATAACACTAGGGTTCTGTTAGTAAGCAAGCAAGGGAGAATGGATGTTGCCTTGGCAACCTGTAGTCCCTGCCTCAGCCATTACTCAGGCAGGAGAGATTACTAAGTAAAAGCTCAACCAGAAAGTTGAGGATGGACTGTGGGGAGAAAGCCCGTGTGAGGGTGGCCTGCATCAGACCAACACCTGCTGGTCGCACTTCTCAGCCCTCTTCTAGGTCTTGCAATTCCACCTGTGGCAGGTGAGGCAGGGTGGGGGGAGCCCGGGACGTGTGTCTTTAACACACACTCTGAGCTGTGTTTTGTTTGTTTGCTTCTGTAATCCCGTGCTCAGAGGAAGGGAAGGAAACCCAAAGCCGAGCGGAGTGCATCCCAATTCCAGCCCTGGGCCGACGACGCTCACAGCTCACAGCCTCCCTGTTCCTAGTGGGTCTGAGCCACGCTCCTACCTTCCTCCTGGTCAGAGACCCTCTCTAGAGTGACTGAGGGGGCAGGAGGGGCTCATGGTGTCTGAGGGTGCCTGATCAAGGAAGCCAGCCACGCTGAGACCACACAGAGCAGACTGTGTAGGTGGCTCAGGCCCAGGAGGGCCTCTTCCACTTCAGAGATGCCGTCACTAGAACCTGGGTCACCTGATCCCAGAAGGGGCCGCGGCCTCAGTCATGGTCAGTTAGAACTGTGATCAGCCTTGACTGAGCAGGCTTCTGGGGCAGCAGGCGGAAATCTGTTGACATCAGCCCCTCCTCAAGTGTCAGCGCCCCTCCCACAGCCTGCCCAGGGGCCTGGGGGTCAGCAGGGAGGGGGCTCCTCTCCCAACACCCACCTGGCCCCCGGGCCCTCAGGAGCCTCAGGGCGCTGACAGGCAGGAGGCGCTCTGGCCGTTTGCCCATTCGATGCCCAGCGGCAGCCGATGCAGACGCTGTAGCGCACGGTCTTGGGGGGTGGCCTTCCGGGCCCGGGCCAGACCAGGAGGAAGGGCCCTCCCGCCGGGGGAAGGTGTGCAGCCCGTCCCACGTGCCCCTCTAACCCGGCTCTGGGCACAGAAGGCCGACCCCTCCAGATTAGCCCACCTGCTGAGCCACTGGAGGGGGCGGCCGGCCCACAGGTCCTCTGCCCCTCCCTTCGCAGCCTCTTCTGGGCTCCAAGCTCTGAGAGCTCCTGCCACCCGGCTCCCCCTGCCCCTTCGTGCCTAGTGGGGACAACAGCTCCTGCTCTGTCTGGTCCCTGATCTGCTCTGTCCCTGAAAAGTCCACATAAACTCCTTCGTTTTGTTTTTTGGCCGTGCCGTGCAGCATGCGGGATCTTAGTTCCCTGACCGGGGACTGAACCTGCGGCCCCTACAGTGGAAGCGCAGAGTCCTAACCACTGGACAGCCAGGTAAGTCCCTAAACTGTCTTTAGTTAAACCTTCTGCTGACGCAGAAGGAAAAAGCCAAACCTGATCTCACAAGACCTTTAGTCAACAGGCACCGTGCATGAGGCCCTGCCCCCAGCGGCACGTCCATGACACCCAAGAGGAGACAAGTGGAAATAAAGATACATCTGAACAACACAGTTATGCACAGAACGATTCCTTCCAGCCACGGGCTGCAGAGCTCTCCTCAACAGACCTGTATCATCATGGACGTCACCATGCCATCAAAGGCCCTGCAAAGAGAAACAGACAATCAGAGAAGCAGACCCAGGCCCTCCATCCCTGGCTGGCAGAGATGTCAGTCTCTGAGGTCCAGGTGAGTAAAACTGGCTGAGGCCAGGACATGCATGCCGCCACATCAGGCGGTGAGAATCTGAGTCTCCCACCTCATTCCTGTGCGGTTTCCCACGGTGCTGCCCTTGCTGGGTCTCCAGGCGGGGGAGGGGGGGGAGGGGGGCACCCAGGATGACCCAAGACACACTGTCACCACTGAGGGAAGGCACCATAGGAAGGGGTCATCTTCCCTGGCTGGGGTCACCTGCCGGCTACAAGGAACCCCTTGGGATGTGTCTGGGATGCAGGGAATTCCCAGAGCAGGTTTGGAGCACGTGCTCGTGAATGCTTCTTTGGGAAGCATCATTGTGACATCCAGATGTTAGGTCTGTGTTTACCTGAAGGCTATTTGGAAGACACCTGCAACCTAATTTCCTAATCGTCTAAGTTCAACGTCAAAGACAAAATCGGGCAGCGACAGGAGGACGTTTTCTCCCGGAGGCTCCTGTCCATATGCCTGGGCCCTCACTGGGATCTGGGGAGGCGCCCCAGGACCTGCTGGGCCGACCTGGGAGACCAGACGGGCAAGCTCTGCAGCCCCCGCGCCCCAACTCCCCTTCTGCTGATCTGGAGATCCAAGGAAGAGTTTGTTTGGAAAAACAGGGTTCTGCCTCTTCAGAATGGCTGCCTTAGACGGACAGTGCCCGTCGCTTAAAAAGACCTTCCCTCCCTGCCTCTCAGAATCGCTGCCTCTCAGCAAGGCGGGGGCTACCCGAGAAGGCGCCACGCCCACCTGGATTGAATGCGGTCTCCCGGGTTATAGAAGGGGTTGCACATCACGTCTGTGTAGGAGTTGTGCAGCTTCCGGAACATCTGGAAAAAGAGCCAACAACGTGTTTCATTCACACGTGCAAGTACACACAGCTGCTGCCACGCTCGGGCTTCTCAGCATTTCTGAACAAAGACGGAAAACCGAGCGGCCAGGCGCGCCCACCGGCCCCCACACTCACACTGCGAATCTCGTTGTCTCTGAGCGCCGTGTTGGAGGAATCCACCACCATGACAAACTTCACCTTGGAGTTGGTCACGTAGCCGTAACTGCACAGCTGGTTAGGGAACACGCTCTTAACACGGGGACTCTGTGACAGCCCCAAGCACGGCATCACCGTGCAGAGCCTGCGAGAGGAAGGCCATCTGTGCATGTCCTCCGGCTGCTAAGCTGCTCTGGAGGAGCATGACACCTGCATCACAGCAAGTGCCCCAGGCTGGGCCACTCCCACAGTGCCAGGAGGACACGGGACTGCAGCAGGTGTGACTGGACACTTCCTTAGACAGCTCTGGTGTTTACTGGAGAAGCAAAGGGCACGGAGCTAAGCCTTATCATGATCCAAGCCCCGGGGCAACCTGCGCAAACCCTGGGGCACCTCGCCTTCTCTCTGCATCACTTCCCAGCTGGGAAGGGTTAACTGCAAGGCCAGAGGTTGCACAAATGAGGCGAATCCTGCCTAAGGTGCCTATACCTCTAAAGGCCACTCCATCTTGCGGAACAGTGGCTCCGGGCAGTGACACTGGGCGAGCTCGTTACTGCTTGTGGGAATGTCTTTGAACTCCATAGGTTTCGAGCCATTTGTCCCAAGGACTGGTCAAGATCTTACAGTGACTGGTGGGGCCGGGCCTGGCAAAGAGATGAGTGGGGACTTCCCTGGTGGTCCAGTGGCTAAGACTCCACAATCCCAATGCAGGGGGCTGGGGTTCGATCCCTGCTCGGGGAACTAGATCCCACATACTGTAACTAAGAGTCCACATGCCGCAACTAAAGATTCTGCACGCTGCAAGGAATATCCCACATCCCGCAAGTAAGACCCTGTGTGGCCTAAATAAATAAATACTAAAAAAAAAAAAAAAGATGCGTGAACAATGACCCGTTGCTCAGGAGGTGGTGGCCCCGCTGAGACAGCATGAAGCCAGAGAGTCCCCAGTTCCTCCACAAACCCAAGGAACAGGTGGGGACTGTCACAAGGCAATTCAAGCCTGGCTGCTCCCACATTATCCTCCTAATTAAAGAAAAAAGGGTGTGAGGTCCTAAGTGTCCTCGAGCTGCTCTAATTCCCCACTGGCCAAAAGCCCGCATCTTTTTTCTTTTCAAGTGATGTTATGAGATGCTTTTCAAGAGGACCTAATGCTACAGCGCACCCTGCGACTGCAGGGAATCCCCAGACTCGAAGCCACTGCCAGGTGCGAGGATACACCTTGTAGTCCTCTGTGGGGTACAGCAGGCCCAGGTAGAGCTCCCTCTGGTCCACCAGGGCCTTCCCCATTGCTGAGATCTTCTCGTCCACCACGTCCAGGGACGTGTGTACCATGTAGTGAAACTTGAGCTCGTTCTCCGTGGGGACACTGCGGATGTAAAGAGGGTAATTCTGCAAGAAAAGGATGACGGTGGCTGAAGTGACAAGGATCCACCCCATGTGCGCTGGCCTGGAAAACAAGGCCACGGGGCACTCAGGAGGGCAGATCAGCCAAGTGCCAATTAGCCATGGAATACGCTCTCATTCCCCAAAACCCACTGCTTAATCCTCCAAACTGGGACTTCCCTGGTGGCGCAGTGCTTAAGAATCCACCTGCCAATGCAGGAGACACGGGTTCGAGCCCTGGTCCGGGAAGATCCCACATGCAGCGGAGCAGCTAAGCCCGTGCAACACAACTACTGAGCCTGCGCTCTAGAGCCCGCGAGCCACAACTACTGAGCCCGTGCACCACAACTACTGAAGCCCGCGCGCCTAGAGCCCGTGCTCCCCAACAAGAGAAGCAACCCGCTCACTGCAACTAGAGAAAGCCCGCGTGCAGCAAAAAAGACCCAAGGACGAAGACCCAACGCAGCCGAAAATAAATAATAAATAAATAAATAAAATTTTAAAAATCCTTCAAATTGCCGTGGGCATTGCCTTCAGGGCACCCAATCTAATCTGAGGAGGTTTTCATACTGTCTGCAAAGGGGCATGGGTAGGATGGGCAGAAAAGAGAAGACGCCTCTGAAGTGGGTCTGAGCGCAGCCTGTCACTCACGTTCTGAGCAGGGCCCCATCCTAGCACGTGCCCTCCTCCTGGCCCCGTCATACTGGCTGTTTCCCAACACTCCAGCTCCTGCAGTCTCAGAGGCACTGGCAGGCTCCCTCAAAACCCGTCAAGGCTTGTCTCAGACCTCCATCTCTGCAGGGCCATTTCTGAGCAACCTAACCCTGGAGTTAACAGCGTCTTCCCAGGCTCCCACAGGCCTGGCACTGCACAGATATAGTGTACACAACGCTGTCCCTACCCTGATGGAGATGACAGATGAAGGAGACAGTCCACAAACCCACCAACAAATAACGCAGCAAGTGATAAGACGGAAGTCAGCGTAACAAGAGCTTCACGGGAAAACCGCCGCAGAAGCCTAGTCTTCAAAAGGCCGGGGCGGACACCACGGCTCCGTGCAGTAGGAGCGCGTGGATGGCCACGCAGCCCAATCTCAGGATTCAGAAAGAGCTTTCTAGAGAAAGTGAAATCTTCGGTGGCCAGTGGAGGGGACAGGAGTGGGGGAGAAGGAGGAAGGGGTTCCAGGTGCAGAGGCCCAGACGTGAGGGAGCAGAGCCTGCCGGGGGAGCTGCAGGTAAGTCCGTCAGCTGGAGTGGAGCGTGTCTGTGGTACGGGGAGGGGATTATTCGGACATGATCCTACGGCAATGAGAAGCCACTGTTGAGGTCTCTAGGCAGAGGTGTGCAACGGTCTGACTTGTGGCTGCTGAGCGGAGAGGAACAGTCACTCGTCCGGGGGTCGACGGCCTGGCCGTTGGGAGCGCGCGGCCGAGCAGGATGGACAGAAGTGGACGCCTAGACTCGGGAGCAGGAAACCACAAAGCCCGCGGACGGGTGGCTGGGCGGAGCGGCGGCCCGCACGGAAGAGGAAGACCCGGCCCGTGACGCTTCGGCAGCGGCAGGTGCAGGTCTGGGCGGCGCCTCCGCCGGGCCCGCCCCTGGCCACCTACGCTCGGCAAAGCCCCCGGGCCCACCCTCCGGAGCCCTTGGGGCAGGGAAGGAGAGGAACCGGAGAGCTAGGCTGACGCTGGAGCGGGCCTGCCCGGCGGAGTACGCACCTCCTTGGCGATCACCGCTACGCAAACCGCCATCTTGGGAGCCCGACAGGCCGCATCACGTGACGACGACGACGGTAATGCGTCCGGCTAGGCCCCGCCCCACCCGCCTGTCACATCCCTGTCACTCAGCCGGTCTGACCCCGCCCCACCTCTCATTCTGTCGGTCAGGGCCCCGCTTCTCCTGTCACTCAGCCGGCATGGCCCCGCCCCATCGCCAAGCCGGAAGGGTCGCCCGCTTCGCCGGGCCGTTCCCGCCGCTCCGGGGCTCGGTGGCGCTCGGCGTGGTTGCCATGGCGGCGGTTGCTGCGGCGACGAGGTGGCGGCTGCTTCTGGTGCTGAGCGCCGCGGGGCTGGGGGTCACAGGCGCCCCGCAGCCCCCCAACATCCTGCTCCTGCTCATGGACGACGTGAGTGCGGGTGTGGGCCGGGATCCCGGGAGGACTGCGCTCGGGCGGGGTTGGCGGCGGCGGCCGGCGGTGTGGGGGTCGCGCCTGGCCCTGCAGGCCGCAGCCTGGCTCGTGGGTGAGGGTGAAGTGAGGTGTAGTGTCCAGGCCGGGCCAGGAGAAGACCCTCCTTCCCTGTTCCCTCCCCCGCTCCTTCCGCTGCCCCTCAGGCGTGCTGCGATGCTGGCCGCGTGAGGACCACCTCCCCAGGATCCCTGCTCTCGCCTGCCGCCCCCCACTGCTGGGGGTGTGGGTGGCAGGGAAGCGGTGCAGAGCTGACTAAGACCCCGGCCTGCCTGCCCGCCCTGGAAGTCGCCTTCCCCGCTGCCTTTGGCCTGCTGGACCTGCCCTGGGAACCGGAGGAATGTCCCCGGATGGGTGTGTGTGTAGCCCCAGGCCACCCTGGTCATTGCGGCGGGTCAACCCTTCCCACAGAGCCTTGCTGTTCGCGCCTCCTTTGCGACTTGGTCCCTGTGCTCCTTCCCAAGGAAGCAGGACTGTATTTGGGGGGCGCTTTTTGGGGAGTGAAATGGAGGCTCTGGAATTAGTCCCTGTGGGGCGTTGGCGTAAAGTGGGGACGCAGACAAACCTGGGTTCAGGTGCCTGCTGCCCTGAGGTGTGGGGAGACCGCGGCCCTTTGGGCCTCCCCTCCGCCCCGTCCTGAGGGCTGAGGCAGTGCAGAGGGTCCTGCATGCGGCTCCTAAGCCCTCGAATCCGGAGTGATACCAGTGTCTGTAGCGGGGGGGCCCTGGATGGCTTCAGGATGTGGTCGCCAGGAAGGCCAAGGCGTGACTGGAAGGTTAGAGCTTCCAGCACAGCCTTGACCTCCTCAGGGGCTCCAGGTCGGTGTACACGTGGAAGGGCTCAGAGAGGGCAGGGAAGTCCCCGCGACACCTCACCTGAGTCATTCTTCCACCTGTTGTCCCTGAGTTGTATCCTTGATAGTAAACAGGTGATAGTAAACACAGCGCCACCCTGAGTTCTGTGAGCCGTTCTAGCAAATTATCCAACTTTGGGGGCAGTGGGGGTGGGTTGTGGGAGCCTTGACTTACAAGAGGCCCAGGATGTGGGCCTGGCATGTGAAGTGGGGGCAGTCTTGTGGGGCTGAGCCCTTGACCTGTGGGGTCAGATGCCAGGTCCAGGTAGGTAGTGTCAGACGGAGCTGAATTGTTGCACTCCCAGCCGGTGCCCGGAGGCCAGAGAAGTAGTTGCTGTGGTCACACACACACACACATTTGGTGTCAGAAGTGTTGTGAGTAAAAATAGCTCAAAGTTCCCCAAAAGACCAACAGAGACACTCCCAGGAGCCTTTGGACCAAGGCCACGGGCCTCACGTGGCTGCTGGGCAGTCCCAGCTGGTCGGAATTGCGAGGTACTGTGTGTGTAAAAAACACGCTCGGATTTCAAAGACCTAGTACAAGAAAAAGACATAAAATATATCTCATGTAATTTTTTTATTATGAAAATAATTCTTTATTACAAAAAGTTAACAACATTCAAATAAGCCGGAAAAGATCACAGAAACCCATCCATGGTGGCACCACCCAGAGGTGACACAGACCGTGCTTCTCTTTACCTGTAACTGTTCAGACACAACGGCTTCCGTAGGGACCCGGAAGCTCTTCTCCTCCAGAGCCCGCCCCGATGGCTGGTACGGAAACTTTGCTTCATGACGAACACATGCATCTTGGAAATGCTTGCTGTGTCAGCCTTCTCAAAGCTGAGGTTCCTGGGCAGGAAGGCTGTTTAAGTACATAAATTACTGGGGCAAGCAAGGCTTAGCTGAGCACTTAGCCTCTCCGATTTCTGCCCCTCCCCTTCTCTCCAAGGTGACAGTTCATTAGTGAAGTTCGATGCTGCAGGCTGGTTGAGATGGTCGTTTTCTGGATTTATGGGGCTACAGAAAGTACAACCTGTGCCCACACCCACCTGTTTCTCTTTGCCCGTTACCGGGGCCGCTGGGCTCTGTTGGAGGCCCTGAGTGGTGGAGGGGGACCGGCACTGGGCACGTCTAACTCGAGGGGGGCTGACCCAGGGGCCCGTCTGCCTGCGTGCCCAGGGTGGGTCCAGGAAACAGGAACAGTGGGCCAGGAGGCCCCAATGCCCTGACTCTCCTCTGCGGGTTCCTCCTGTGACTTTGGGGTTCTTTGGCAGCTGAAGCCCAGAGAAGTCGGGGAGACCTCTGTCCTGGTCAGCGCATGACAGGAAACACACTCAAAGCGACTTTAGCAGAAGTGGGGGCCGAGGCTCTCCCGACTAGACAGGCTTCAGGCCCCCCAGCTCTGTGTCCTCACCCAGGCGGTCATCAGGCCTGGCAGGAGGCGCAGGCCCTGGTAGGCATCAACTTGTGGAAGAATTTAGAAGAGGCTGAGAAGCTCCATTCTCTAAGGCTGATGGGTGATGGGGCCGGGGCGCAGGGACAGAGCTCCCTCCTGCCCGGCTGGGCCCGAGTGCCGTCTGTGTCTCAGTTCTTTACTTGTAAAACAGGACTAAGGAGGACGCCCTGTGGCTACTGGGAAGGGTAAGGCCAGGCTGCACAGAGGCCAGCCCCTGTGTCCCCACGGTGGGCCCATCCAGCCAGTGCCCCCGCCCTGACCCTCCAGGGCCTTGCACACGTGTCGATGTGGACACATGCACGGGTAATAATCCCTCGTAGCTGTGTGTGGCCCCTGCACTGCCCAGAAGTCTTTTTTTTTTTTTTTTAATTTTTATTGGAGCGTAGTTGCTTTACAGTGTTGTGTTAGTTTCTACTGTACAGCAAAGTGAATCAGGTATGCGTATACATGTATCCTCTCATTTTTGGATTTCTTTCCCATTTAGGTCACCAGGGAGTACTGAGTAGAGTTCCCTGTGCTATGTTCTCATTAGTTACGCCCAGAAGTCTTGAAGTTCCCACCGAGTAATGGCAAGGCCGAGGCCAGGAGGAGGACCGTAGGCCCGGGTTCCCGGCTGCCTTGGGAGCGCGGGTGGGCGATCACGTGGGAGAGGGGAGACATCCTTCACACTCTGTGGGAGACCCTGCCCAGGGTGCCGTGGAGGACCGTCTCATGGAACCCGTGATAGCCGTGCAAGGTGGATGTTAACATCCCTATTTGTATAGCCAAGAAAGCCTACCGATAGGTGATAATAGAACTGGATTCAACAGGAAAGAGCTAACACAGCAGGCCAGTGACTGCAGGCCTCAGAGAGGCTCACCTGTAAATAGGTGGGCCCTTGGCCGCCATCTGGGAACTTGGATTTGGGGAGTATCCCAGCATTCCCTGTGCCTAAACTGTTTATGCAAACGTAAGATTTGTGCTGAGCCCCACCTCCCTCCTGGGAGGCTGGGATTTGGGTGGTGCCAGCGGACCCAGCCCCTCTGCCTCTCTCTGCTCCTCCTACCTGGCCTGTGGGTGAGGGTCGGCAGCCCGCCTGTGCCCCGTGGGGTGCGGGGAGAGGGGGCAGCAGGGAGAGGCCTGGAACCTCAGCCTCGTGCCTTCCACTCCACTTCCTGCCCCTGTCGGCCGCACTTCCCTCCAGGGGCAACTTTCATTCCGGCTCCTGTTGTGGTGAACGGAAAAGCCTTTTCAGTAATTTCAAGATAAACCATCTCCAAAGGGACTCTATGGCTGGAAGGTTCTTTGAGAACAGACCGCACAGTCCAAGGGCAGAAGCCCCCAGGCAGCTCTGGGACCCGAGTGTCAGGATGGGCCTAAGGCCGGGAGACGAGGGGACGTGTCCCCCTCCTGGCTCTCCCTGATGGAGAGGGCGCCGTGTGAGCTACTGCCCAGTGCAGGGGGCATGAATGATTACAGCCAGACCACACACTTACCTGTGACCATCCTGGGCAAACCTGCATGCTCGGCCCCCACGTGTGATCCAGGGCTCCCCGAGCTTCGTGCGCGCTGGCCCCGCTCTCCCCAGCGTCTCCGTGCAGACCTGCCGAGCCTGCTGTGGGCTGGCAGGCCGTGGCGCATGAGTCTGGAGAGCTTTAAGGGGCCCCAGAGAGACAGGCACGGCCAGGCCTCTGCAGCACCAGGTGCCTGCGCTTCTCCAGTGGCACTCTACGGAGACGTAGTTTCCATCATGCACAGCTCACCAGTTAAAGGGCACAATTCCGCGGTTTCTAGCACCTTCACAGCCTCGTGCAGCTGTCACCACGGTCAGCTGTAGGTCATCTTCATAACCCCGGGAAGAAGCCCCATCCCCGCCCTCCCCCCCGCTCCACCCCTCCAGGAGGAGCGGCCGGTGAAGGAGAGCCAGCATGGAGGGAGCTGGCGCGTCTAGAGAATCCAGAGGGGAAGCAGGGCCGTGCCCGCCAGCAGCGCCGAGGGGAATCAGTTTGTCGGGGTCACTCCTGCCCCACGCCACTGGCCGCAGAAGGATGCGTTGGGTCGTAGGGCGAAGTCACACCCCGTTGCCCTTTTCAGGTTATTTCTTTAGCGCTTTATGATGAAAGTTGTCAAACGCCCGCGCAGCTGAAAGGGTGTCGCAGTGCACACCTGTCACCCCACCTGGACTGCCTGCTCTGTCTCACATCTGTCCATCCGTCCGTCCCTGTGCACGTGCTAACCCACCTCACCACCTGGCAGGTTTTATTTTGGCACAACGCACATAACACGAATTCACCCTTTTAACATTTTAAAGCGTGCAGTTTGGTGGTGTTGAGCGCGTGCGCCGGCTTGTGCAGCGCCCCCATCCAGTAGCTGAGAACATCCCACCCCCCGAAGAGAAACCCCTTTCCCACTGGCAGTCACTCTCCTCCCCCTCCCCCAGCCCCTGGCAACCACCCATCTGCCTTGTCCCCATGGACTTGCCTGTTCTGGACGTCTCACATCCATCGTACACCCTGCGGCCTTTTCTGACCAGCTTCTCAGCAGCCTGTTTTCGTGAGTGTCAGCACCTCGTTCCTCTTTACGGCCGAGTACTGGTCCGTAGTGTGTGTATCAGGTCCCTCATGCCTAACAGGTGGCCACAGACTTGGTGCCTTGGAATAGGAATCTATTTCCTCCAGTCCTGGAGGCCAGAGTCTGAAATCAAGGGGTTGCAGGGCCAGTCTCTCTGGAGGCTCCAAGGGAGGGTCTTCCCTCCCCTCCATCTCCTGGGGGCTCCTGTGCTCCTTGGCTTGTGGCCACGACCCTCCAGTCTCTGCCTCCGTCGTGGAGGCCTGGCCTGTCCTCGTGTGTCTGTCTTGTCTCTGTGTCCCATCTTCTCACACGGACCCAGTCACTGGATTTAGGACTACCCTAGTCCAGTGTGATCTCATCTTAGCTAATTACGTCCGTATTTCCAGATATGGTTACGTTCTCCGGTTCTGAGTGGACATAAACTGGGGAGGCTGCTGTTCACCCCGGTCCTGGATGGATAGACCACATCTGTCTGCTGTTGATCAGTGATGGACACAGGCTGTGTCTTTTGAGCAGTCGGGAGTCCTGCTGCTGTGGACATTCATGCGGCGCCTGGGTGCCAGCCGGCCCAGTTCTCAGGACAGCGAGCTCAGGAGGACCGCGGGTCTCGGGGCCTCGCCGGGTTAGCCTCACGGGGCCTGGCCACTGTCTTTAAATGTGAATTCACACCGCAGAGTAGGACAGCCTCCTTGTCTGTGCGGAAGGCAGAGGTGTGTGTCTTGGTGCCGGTGCCCCGTGAGCACGTGGGGCCGGCGTCGGAGCCGGGAGGAGGTGGGCGCTGGGCATCTGCACCGGGGAGCGGCTGACCGTGCACCTGCCGCACTTGGGATGCGCCGGGGGCCGCGGCTCCGGCTACATTCTTATCCCACCTCCACACGCTCTTTCCTGCAGATGGGGTGGGGCGACCTCGGGGTGTACGGAGAACCTTCCAGAGAGACCCCGAATTTGGACCGGATGGCTGCAGAAGGGATGCTCTTCCCGAACTTCTACACGGCCAACCCCCTGTGCTCCCCTTGTAAGTCACGGCCTGCTCAGGCCACCAGGGAGTGGGGCCGGGCGTAGGGCATGCTGGGTGGGGGGACACAAGGGGGGCGGGCACGGAGCGCGAAGACTGAGGCGCGGTGGGGAGGCGGGGAATGCGTAGACCAGAAAGGGGCACAGGGTGCGGGCACGGAGCGCAGGGGTAGCCGCCCTGACTTGGGTGTCGGCTCCACCGGCATTTCCTGCAAGGGGCAGAGGGCTGGCAGGTGGGCTGCGGCCTCTTCTGTCAGATCCTGGTGCTTGGGAGCACCTGAGCTCCATGCTCTGGGGAACGCGGGGCCATCAGGAGCCATCAGAGGCCACCAAGGGCTCGGAGCCTCTGCGGGTGTTTGAGGCCCAAGTGGCTGCCTCGGTGGCGGCGGCTGTTCATTCATGGAGCTGAGTGTCGCGGCTGGTTCGGGGGAGGTGCTCAGCCGGGGAAGGGATCGTCAGCTGGGGGTGTAGTGGCCTCGCAGGTGGGGAGAACCTCTGATCTGGAGGACGAGAGGTGACCCCGGAAGGGGCGGCACATGAGGAGGCCTGTGGGCTGTCCCGGGAGCCAGAGAGCGAGCGAGGGGGAGCTGCAGCTGGCCCCGCTGCTGGTCTTTGCGGGGCTGTGCTCCCACCCGGCTCTCAAGTGGCTGCCGGGGACTCAGGTACCACAGGGCTGGCCTCAGGCTGCACGCGTGACCCATGTTTCTGTTGTGTCCCCTCCGCGTAGCCAGGGCGGCTCTGCTCACCGGACGCCTGCCCATCCGCAGTGGCTTCTACACCACCAACGGGCACGCGAGGAATGGTAGGCTGTGCCCTGGGGCAGAGGGAGGGGGCGTCTGTCACCTGTCCTCTCTGGTGACCTGGCTTCTCCCGGGCACACTCATTGCCCAGGGTTGAGGCTTCTGTCTGGGTCGTAACCCGTTAAAACAGAACGCAGAGCTTCCATCAGAAACAATGTGTTTTAGGCGAGTGGGGAGGATGGTGAGGGTGCGGCCGGCTCCCGCCCTGTCCCGGGCGTGGGGGCAGCCCGGCTCTAGGGTGGGCTCCCCGACCAAGTGGGGCTTCAAGGGGCCCTTGGAGGAAGGTGTGGTCTCAGAGCCCGAGTTCTGGAGATGCCGGGGGCGGGCCCTCCCCTGACCCCTGACGTCCGGACCCCCCTCGGGGGCACGTTTGCCTGTTCGCTCTGGTAATGGTGCTGGCTGTGAGGAGCGCCGGAAGACCTGCAAAGTGCCCAGGCGGTGCCGCCCCGACCAGGGCTCTGCCGCTCGACCCTGCCGGCTCACACGGTGCATTGCTCCACCAGCCTACACGCCACAGGAGATAGTGGGCGGCATCCCGGACTCAGAGCTCCTGCTGCCGGAGCTGCTGAAGGAGGCCGGCTACACCAGCAAGATCGTGGGCAAGTGGTGAGTCCCACACCTGCCTGCTGGGCTCACCCAGCGGGTTCCTTACTCACGTTGCCCAGTGGGAGCCCCTCGGGTGGGAGTAGAGTCCTTGAATTCCAGGTCCGCTAAGATGTCCAAAGCATCCCTTTAAAAGCTGCTGTGGCCATGCCCGTGGGACCTCCCGTGGTGAGGCTGGGGTGGTGGCTGCCACGGCAGCACCAAAGGAGCCATGTTATTGCACACGCGTGCCGTCACGATGACACGCCAGGGAGCAAAGGGGCTCTGTCTGGTGATGAAACCAAGAAGCAAGCAGGGGATAGGGGACGGTCGTGTGGTGTGGAATCATTGGGATCAAGTGATCGTAAAAGATCATGTTGTCACACGCGTGTCGCGCTGTTACGTGGTTAAGCCTGTTAAGTGGCTTCTCTCCAACTCCCCGGGGATGCCTAAGTACGCAGCCCTAGAGGTTGATATGAAGGTCGGATGTCCTCTCTTTCCTCTCCCACGTGTTGGAGCCCTTGGAGACCAAGCCTGCTTCCTACAGGAAGCCTTCCCTGACTTTCCAGCCCTGATCATCTCTGCTCGGCTGCTGCTGTGCTTTGGACCCTCTCGCCTTGACCCCTCTGGCACTCACCACCTCGAGGGCAAGCACCTCATCTGCGCCCCTTGGGGACCACTGCCCCACGCAGTTGACAGTCCTAGTGATGGGGGATCTGCAGAAACCGGGAGAGGAGTCCTCAGGGAACCCGAGGACCTGGAGGCTGCTTCCTCACCCCCGAGAGGGGCTGGCAGCTGTCCTGCTGGCCGAGCGGTCGAGCCTGGAGGCGGTGGGGGCTGCACAGCAGAGCTGACGAGGGTGCAGGATGTGGGAGCCTGCAAGGCCCAGCAGTGCCGGGAGGGCCCGGGAGACGGCGGTAGGGCGGCTACAAGGCCCGCCGGGGCCGTGCCAGGGCTGCGCCCACAGAAGGAGGAGCCCCTGCGATGACCGGCACTCTCTGCCCAGCCTGGCGGCTCTGCCCTGGTCCAGGGGCCTCCCATTCGTGGTCACTGACACGGGGCAGCCAGAGCTGGAGTGGGAGCCTGTCCCCACGAGCTCCGGAGATGGGCAGACTCAGGAACAGGAAGGGACGCGGCAGGGCCTGGAGAAGCAGATCCATGGACTCAGGGAGGTGGACGCAGTGCTGGTGGACCAGCCGGGGTCAGGGCGGCCATGGCCAATGGGATGACGGGCTCTGGGAGGCCCGGGGCAGGGGGCTCGGTCCCTCCTCTGCCAGGTGGGTGTGCTGGTCTCAGCAGGGTCCCATCAGAGCCGCAGGGGGTGTTGGTGGCCGTGGCCGTGACTGCCTGACAGCCAGCCTCGGGCCCCAGCACCACGGATCTGGATTTTGTCAGCCTAACCAAGGCCTGGGGTGGATGGAGCCTGGACTCCCGCGAGAGGCTGCCCTGAGTCCCAGGGGCTCGACGTGCTGTCACTCAGCTCGCTGGCAGGCAGTACTGACCCCGCAGCTGCCCTGGGACCAGCACTTGGAATTGACAACTTCACACGAGCCGGACCTTCGTGGGTGTTTTTGTTTCATGAAGGCCGTTTGGGCTGAAGGATGCAGGACGAGGAGTGTCACACCCAGCGGTGTCCAGCATGGAGGGGACGTCATAGCTGCGGGCCCAGAGAGGAAGCACGGGGCGCAGCTGGCTCTCCTTTGTGGAGACAGCGCTCAGGGCAGAGCCCGTGCGGGTGCCCCCGGCACAGGGGCTCCCGAAGCCGGGCAGCCATCCGGCGGAGGCAGAGTGTTTCGGGACCAGCAGGGGGCGCCCGGACTCCGCTGCCGGCCAGCTCAGTCCGGCCCCATCCTGCCCAGCTGCCTCGTGCCGCATCCACCTGACTGAGTGAGCGAGCTGTGCGGCAAGCTCACGGTGACGTGGAGTCGGCCTGGCCCGGTGCAGCCCCCCAGCGCTGCGCCGGCGATGCTGGCCACGAGAGGCTTTCTACAAACGTGACCCCAAGAAACCTGTCTGCTTCCCAGGGAGGAGGAACCTCACCCCGAAACCCCTTCTCTAAGCTGCGCCTTCTCAAGAGAGACCCTCCCACTGGCGAGAGGACCCGACGTGACGCACCCGCGGGGAAGGGCCTCCCGGGTGGGAGCAGGGGGCGGGTCCGAGCTGGGCCGGACCCAATGGGTCCCCGACGGACCTGCAGGCACCTTGCCGTGTTATCCTCTCGGCCCGTCCGGCTCCTGCCCAGGGCGCCGGGACAGTGAGCCGCGCTCATGGGACCTGGTCACCGTCCCCATGTGCGCCCCTCGGTTGTCGCCTGGGTGGACCGTGCGGGCAGGGGGGCCAGGCCACGGGGCATCCGGGCTCAGCACACCCTGGGGCTGGCTGGAGCCTTGTCTCCTGAGCTGTTCTCTGAAAGCGAGGGTGTTTGCTTCCCGGGGCGCCCATGCGGCGGTCCCTGAAGTGCCCCGGGTTCCTCTCTCTAGGCATCTGGGCCACAGGCCTCAGTTCCACCCCCTGAAGCACGGATTCGATGAGTGGTTTGGATCCCCCAACTGTCACTTTGGACCTTATGACAACAAGGCCAGGCCCAACATCCCTGTGTACCGGGACTGGGAGATGGTTGGCAGGTAACAGGCCCTGCCCACTGCTGCTGCCCACCCGCCAGCTCCTCGTCCTGCCCAGACCTCGTGCTGTGACCTCTGACTTATAAGAGCCCCGCGTCCGGGGGCTTCTAACTGTCTCAGGAAAGGTGCTGGGAGCCCCAGGTGCTCCCCAGAGCGAGGCGCTTCACTCGGCTTCTGGGGTTTGGGCCCCGTGCCCTGAGGGGGCTACGCTCTGCACGGTCAGCCTCGCTCCGAGCCACCGTCTGGGGGGCCGTCGGCTGCAGGACCGGCCTGGTCTGGCCATCGGGTGGCTGCAGGCAGGCCCTGGTCTTTCCTGTCTGGCCTAACTTCCCTTTCTTCCTTTTTAAGTTATTTTTGTCCTGGTGGAAGCGCAGTACGCGTCACTGGACCACAGAGCTGGGCCAGCATTGCTGAGGTGTAGCTCACCCAGCACCCCCATCCCAGACCGCCTCCGTCACCCCAGAGAGATGCCCACACCCGTTAGCCGTGCCCTCCGTGGCCGTGGACTGGCCACTTCCTCTCGCACTGTCCTGCCTGTTCATTGGCGGGGCTCCCCTCCTTCTCCCAGATGGTGGGGTCACCGGGGCACCAGACTCAACCCCAATGGGTCCCCGACGGGCCTGGGAGCTTCCAGGCTCCGGTTTTGTTCCTGACGTGAACGTTTCCATCTCTCTTTTAAACGAGGCCCCTGACTTTGCCCAGGAAATCGGGGAGGAGGGGCTTTCCTGCCCTGAAGGCCGATTTCTGTCTGGATCTCTACTGTTTTCAGATTTTATGAGGAATTTCCAATTAACCTGAAGACCGGAGAAGCCAACCTCACCCAGATCTACCTGCAGGTGACGACAGCAGGGGCTGGCCCCGCTCTGGGGTGGGAGGTGGGCCTGGAGCGGGGAAGACCGTGTGCGCTTCTCCTCAGGAAGCACTCGATTTCATTAAGAGGCAGCAGGCAGCTCACCGCCCCTTCTTTCTACACTGGGCCATCGACGCTACACACGCACCTGTTTATGCCTCCAGGCCTTTCCTGGGCACCAGCCAGCGAGGGCGGTGAGTCCTTGGGCACATAGACCTGGACCCCGGGGCGGGGGGGTCAACTGTGCTTGGTTACCACCAGAGGCTGGGCCCTCGCTACCATTGTCAGCTGTGGACAGAGTGAAGCATCTGTGCCTCTGCGGTGGTGAAGGGAGGGGTCGGCTCTGCCCCGATTCCGTCTGAAACTTGACTGGAATGCCCCCTCCTCGTCCCTCCCTGAGGTTCGGCTTCGGCCGCCCTCTGGTCCCGGAGGCCGCTGGCCCCTGCTGACTGCTTCCTCCTTCCCGCAGTTACGGGGACGCCGTCCGGGAGATTGACGACAGCGTCGGGAAGATCCTGCACCTCCTCCGGGACCTGAGCATCGCAGAGAACACCTTTGTTTTCTTCACGTCCGACAACGGCGCTGCCCTCATTTCCGCGCCCAGACAAGGCAGGTGACTTGAGCAGATGGGGCTCCACCCGGGGCCCCTCAGCACCCCCTCACCAGGCCGCGTGTGAAGGGCTCAGCCTTGGGGAGGGAGGGACACCGGCGAGCGCCCCCCAGGTCCAATGCCCCTCTTCCCCACCGCCTGGCAGGTGCCTGGTCAGGAGGGAGAGCTCGGTGGGGCAGGCGGAGGCAGAGGCTGCGGCCCTCACTGCATCCTGCCTCTCTACTGGCCAGCCCTGGGGCCAGTCACGTCCGGAGTTCTCTCTCTGAAGCCGCGACGCTCCCTATCAGCGTTTCCGTTCTGATCTCAGCTGTAACACAGTGGCCGTTGTGACTGGACACGTCTGCCCCTTTTTCTGTGTTTGGGGGCCTCCCTTCCCACAGGGGCGATGACCCTGCAGCAGCCAGGCCCAGGCTTGGCGCCCACCCCCGCCCCTCGGAAGTGCCCTCCCAGGCCTCGTGGTGGGTGGTGTCCGGGAGGGAAGGGAGCGAGCCCCCCTCCTCTGCAGTGCCGGAGCCCCTGGCGCAGCGCGGGGGGCCTGCTCACTCCCCCAGACCCTCCTTCTGTGTCCCTGCCAGCCTGCAGTCCTCCTGAGGACCCTGGCCTCTAGGCCTCTCTGGCCTGAGGCTTTTCCACCTTGCGGAGCTGGAGCTGGAGCGAGGTTGTTAGAGCCGGAGTTTCACAGTCTTATGAGGGTTTCACACCCCCGCGGTGATGTCTCTTTTTCCCTTTCTTCTTAAAAAGGCTGGGCCCCAGGAGGGCCCTGAGTCACTCAGACAGCTCTGGAAGGAAGGCCACAGAAGCTGGAAACCCCACAGGGCCGGGCCTGTCTGGGGAGGCACTGGGGGACCTTACGGCCACGTGTCCTGGGGGCAGAGGGGCCCAGGGATCTCCAGGGATAGGAACAGCGCAACTGGGAGCTGCAGGGGCAGAACAAGACAATGAAAATCCATGTACCCACCCCCAGCTGGAGAGACAGGAGCAGGAGAGAAGTAGGCCCTCACTGGCCTCTGGCCTGTGACCCTTGCCGTCCCTGTGCTGACCAGCGAGGCCCATGCTCAGGGGTCCCTCCCTCCATCATGGCAGCGAGCTGGGGATGTGCCATTTGCCAGGACCGGGCTGTCTGCCCTCGGCACCGCCCACAGCCGGGTTCAGGGACCACCTGCTCAGAGCAGGGCGTGTCAGAAACACGGGGTCTGCACCCCCAAACCCCAGGCACACAGGAGCTGCTTGTGCACAGTGACATTTAGGGAACCTGGCACCTGCCAGGCCCGGGGTCGGGACTGTGTCTTACCGATTCCACATCTTTCACTAACACGTCCATGTGCTGTGTGTGTGCGTGGTTGCGGTCTATGGGGGCGTGACCTTATGACCACAGCTCTAGGTCAGAGCCATCTCCAGGCGTTCCGACCTTGAACTTGAGGCCTGAACCCCAGGGCTGGTCCTTTGTCTCCACAACGGCCTCAGTGCCTCAGTAATGTCACCTCCAAAGGGCCGGGCAGGGAGCCAGGTGGACAGACGTGTCCCGAGGGCGAGTGCCCGGCAGGGTGTGTATGGCCCTGGGGACTCAGGCACGTGGTCTGATGGGCGACTATCCCCAGGCGGCAGCAACGGCCCTTTTCTGTGCGGGAAGCAGACCACGTTTGAAGGTGGGATGAGGGAGCCTGCGATCGCCTGGTGGCCCGGGCACATCCCTGCCAGCCAGGTGAGTCAGAGCCGGCCTTGTGCCAGCCCTGCAGTCATCCTGGGGCGTGAAGCCTTGGTCCCCTCTCTGGCCTGCTCCCTGCGCTCGTTCTGCCACGCACGCGTGTCATCGGGCAGGGAAAGCCTCTATTCTGCGTGTGTGGACATGCTGCGGGATGTGACCGCGTGCGTGTGTGCGTCAGCGAGCACGCCTGGGGACCTGGCCCCTGGCCGCCATCTGGGCAGGGCAGGGCGGGCATCCTCAGTGCGTCTGGGCCACGTCCATTGCAGGTGAGCCACCAGCTGGGCAGCATCATGGACCTCTTCACCACCAGCCTGTCCCTCGCAGGCCTGGAGCCACCCAGGGACAGGGCCATCGACGGCCTGGACCTCCTCCCCACCATGCTCCAGGGCCGCCTGACAGACAGGTAGGTTCCCGCCGGGCACTCGCCCCGCCTGGCGCCCCGCACCTGGCGCCGGAGCCGAGCTGGCTGACAAAGCAGGTGTCCTCGCCCAGGGGGAGGTGAGACCCGGGGGTCTTGGCATGAAGCGCTTGGTGGGGTGGAGAGGCCTTGTTCCTCCCTGCGGTGTCCCTCACCCTCTGCCCGGCCCCAACCTACACCCAGCTCCACGCCGGGACGCTGTCCAGAGGCAGTTGCTCCAGCTCGAGACCTGCTACTGTTTTGCTCAAACAAAATGAGTTTCCCAGGCTGCCGTGAAGGGGCGTGGACTCTGAAGGGTGTACAGTGTAACCAGAGCAGGCAGACGGCCAGGAGTGGACGGCTCACTGTCTCTTTTCTGTCTTGAAACCTGGCATGAGAGTTTGCTAGCCCTGGCGGGGGTGGCAGGGGGTGCCAGCCGCCACGCTCGTCCCCACAGGCCCGCCTGCCATGCCCGCGTGCTACCCCCTTCCTCTGCCGCCAGCCTCCCCAGCACCGAGGACGAGGGGCGGCCAGGGGGCCCCTCCACAGCCTGGAGACCCTTTCAGTTGATGCCGCCTGTCCCCCTGACAGGCCGGTATTCTACTACCGTGGCAACACGCTGATGGCGGTCACCCGTGGCCAGTACAAGGCCCACTTCTGGACCTGGACCAATTCCTGGGAGGAGTTCAGGCAGGTGAGGGGGTCCCGGCTCCGTGAATGCCTCGTCCCTCACGTCCCACCTTGGGGAGGCCTCTGTGCCCCCGGCTCACGTGCTGACCTGCTGTCAGGGACTTGGGGGTGACGAGCTGTGGCCACAAGGACAACACCCACCCTGGCCCGCGCCACCCAGGCTCCGGAGACGAGGCCTCAGGGCAGCTCAGCCCCAAACCTGGGTCAGATGCCTCAGGGACCCAGGCAGACCCGGCACGTTCCCGGCCTCCCCTCCCATCCACCCACTGGCCCGGCCAGGTGCTCGGCGGCCCCCCGAGACGCTGTCGCCATGTTTGCTTCCCCGTGTCCACCCCCAGTCCTGACGGTGAAGTGCCCCTGCCAGGCCCGGAGCCCCACTCGGCCCTCCCAGCTCGTGGCCGCCCACCACCTCCTCTCCGCGTGCCTGGGCGCCCCTTGCTCGCCCTCCCCTAGCCAAGCCTGTGCCTCCCCACGTCCCATCACTGCTGAGCTGTCCTGAGCACCCAGCACCCCAACGGGCAGGGCTGCGGCTGGCTCGCCCCTGAAGATGCTAAGGGGCCGAGGGCCTAGGAGCCCCCGCCTGAGGGCCCTGAGGCAGGCGGCGTGGCGGCCCTTGGGGACAGCGTGTGGCGGCCCTTGTCCCTCCCCGGGCCCCTCCCCACCCCACCCCGTAGGGTCCCCGTTGCGTCCAGCTGCACGGGTGCACTGGCGTTCTGGAAGCCACCGCTTGCCCACCGTGGGCTGTTGGGGCTCTTGAGGGCAGGTGTGGTCAGCCCAGCCTCCACCCAAGCCGGAGCCCACAGGGGCTGGGGAGCCTCTTCGAGCCCAGCGTGTCTGCAGGCAGCGAGCAGCCAGCTGCACGGCCTGTGCTGACTCGAGTGCGTTCACGGTGGGGCCGGAAAGTGTCAGGAGAGGCCCCCTCGGCGCAGCTGGGTGACACCCGTGCGCAGAGCTCCGCGGGGGGCGCTGCTTCCCTTTCCCGAGGGTTGTTTGTGGGGCTTCTGGTTGGTTTGGTCTGCACGGCCACTGTCCTCTTGTGAGACAAAACGCGCAAAACTCCCATCTCTTCTCCAAGGTGCGCAGGCGTGCAGGCACTGGGGGGTGCCCCCTGCGGTGGGTTTGCATGGTTGCAGTTCCATTCAGATGCTAGGGGTGGGGGAGGGGGCACCCGCACGCTGCTTTGATGGCCCTTCTTCCTGCAGGGACCAGTAAGGCGGAGGGGGTGTGTGCAGTCGGGAGGGGCCCCAGAAACCATGACAGCGGCCTTGTGGCCGTCGACAGCTCCCTGAGCTCCGTGGAGACTTGGGTCCGCCTCTTGCATCCCTTCCAGGCGATCAACACATGAGGGGCAGCCTTGTCTGCAGGCTGGGGGCATGGCTTAGCTGAGGAGGTCAGGGGTCCCCAGGTGCAGGGTTCGCCCGAGGGGACCTTGTTAACTTCCCACTGTACCCTTGTCTGGGGCATCTCCCACCCCCTCGACCCCCCCGCCGCCCCAGTGCCTGTGGGCCCACCTGCCCGCGTCCTGATCAGGTACCAGAGGCGAAGGAGGAGTGAGCATTCTCCCTGTGCCAGGTCTGGTGCCACCATCACCAACAAGCCCGTGACCTCCCCTCAGGAGGCATCTGAGGCCCGGGGGGCCGAGGCAGGAGGGAGGGCCCGTGTGTCCATGGGACCTTCTGCATTTCTGGACTAAATCCACGAGCGTTGGCTCAAGGGCACGGCTCGCCCGCCCCCCTTCTCCTTCCCGTCCTCCCAACGCCAGTGCTGTGCTGGGGCAGGGCGCCGCGCGCCCCCTCTGCCTGGCTGGGCTGCGTGGGGCTCAGCTGCGCTGCCCCTGGGGCAGGTCCTCCCTCCCGAGAGTGGCTGTGAGAGGAAAGTCCTGTACTAATTAACGGCATCTTAATCAAATAGCTGACGTGATTTGCTTCCAAGTGATAGCTCGTGTTTTCTGTCTAGAGTTGGATTCTTCCCCATTAACTGCTCGGCTTTTTTATGCTAAACGTGGTGGTTTCTCCCACCGTTAAATCCACTTTTGTTCTCCAGCTGGTCTGCTCCCAGAAGGTCAGAGGTCACTTACTTGGGACCCACCTGGGTGTCCGTTCTCCACAGCTTGGATTGCAGCCGCTGACTCAGGGGTCTACAGCTCAGGGCAGACGATGGATTTATCTCGCTCCTCACTTCCCTGCTCTACTGAGAAGCAGGGTATTCACTGCTCCACTGCCGGGCTGTCCAGGACAGACCCGCGGGTGCTGGGAGGATTGCCGTCAGGCCGCACCGCTGCCTGCAGGAGAGGCAGGAGGCACGTCTCTGTCCCCGGCCCCGTTTTAGGGTTAACGGGCCCCGCCACGGCTCCGCTCCAGACCCTGTAAACAGAGTCCCATGATGCCTGGAGACCAGTGCCCAGCTGCTTATGGGGCCCTGAGGTCCCCAGTGCTTCTGGGGTGGCAACCCTTGGCCTCGCCCCACTCTGCCCAGATGGCAGCAGGCCTTTCCCTAAACTAAGTCAGGGAGCCCCGAGGGGCAGCCTTCAAGCCTGGGGGACACGCTGGCGTGGGAACCCCATCTCACGCGTGCGTCGAAGGCTGAACCTCGAGGGCAGAGGCCGCCTGGAGGGTGCGGAGCGGGGCTGCACACCTGAGCCTTGGTGGAGAAGACGCTCCATTTCCTGTTAAGGGTGGGGGCGGTGCGTCCGGGTCCCCTGTGTCTCCTCTGGCTTTCAGGCCTGCGGTCCCTCCTCCTCAGCTGGCCAAGGAGTCTTGGAGGAATGCCGACCGCTGCGCACCTCATCTGCTACGAGGCAGATAGGGTGGACGTGAAAAGCTTTGCTCTAGAAATTAGATAGAAGATGGACTAAAATATTTTAGAGACTCACCACCCCTTCCCCCAAGAAAGTACTGAAGCCCTAGGGGATGGCGCACAGGGCCGATGGCACGCAGCCCGGGGCATCCGCGGTCTTGCTGTGCTCGCCCGCTGCGAGCCCCGCACACGTCACCTGCGCTCCGGCCTGTCGTTCCAGGGCGTGGATTTCTGCCCCGGGCAGAACGTGTCGGGGGTCACCACCCACTCGCAGGAGGAGCACACCAAGCTGCCGCTGGTCTTCCACCTGGGACGAGACCCCGGGGAGAGGTTCCCCCTCAGGTGAGCCGGGGGTTACGGGGCCCCAAGCCCCCTTGGGGGGCGAGTGCAGCCGACCGAGCAGGGCGCCGAGGGCCCGGGAGCCACGCGGTCTCAGGGCATTTGGGGCAGGACCAGCCTCTCCGAGAGAAATGAACCGGGGCCAGAGGATTAAAAGGGACCCTGAGAGAGGAGAGATCGGGCGCTGCCAAGCCTGTGCAGCTCAGGGCGCCTGCGATGCCGGGCGGTGCCCCAGTGGTTCCTGCAGAGCAGCAGGCTGAAGGGTCACAGCTGCTGTCCTGGGCATGACGTGGCTCTGCCTGAGCCCTCATTTGCTGGGTGGTTCCCAGGGTGCACGCCTCTCAGGGAGGGCGGGCGGGACAAGGTGGGGGCCCCAGCTGTTCTTCCCGGGAGGCTGCTGGATGGTGACCCCGGGGGGCGGGGCTTGTTCCTCAGTCTCCCCCCCAACCCTGGCCTACCTGGGTGGGCTGCCCCACTTGCTCTGTCCCTCCCTCCACCTCGGTGACCTGGTGCCCCTCGCCTGCAGCATTGCCAGCACCGAGTACCTGGACGCACTTCGCCAGATCACCCCGGTTGTCCGGCAGCACCAGGAGGCCTTGGTCCCTGGACAGCCCCAGCTCAATGTGTGCAACCGGGCGGTCATGGTAAGTGGTTCGTACGTGGGCTATGGGGGGCATCCCAGGGCTATGTGAGTGCTGACCGGTCTGCTGCAGGCACGAACCCCACTTCCCTCCTGCTTCTCTGTCTCCGATCTCACAGGAGTGGCAAGGGGTTGCTTGGCACCTCTGCAGGTGCAGGACGAGCCAACCCCATGTGGGATGTGGGTGTTGAAAGGCTGGGCAGATGGCCTGGGGTGCAGCAAGCCCATGGGCCACCTCCGAGCACAGCCTCCTCCAACTCCATGGGGGCTCACCCACAAGTCTGTCCCATAACTGGGGTGTCTGTGTGGCTCCCTGTTCCACAAAGATGGGCAGTCTCCCGTCCCTGCAGCAGAAGCTCCGGCAGCACCCTAAAACCCGCAGAGCAAAGCCAGTAGCTTAGCCTGGCTTCCAGCCCGTGAGTGCCCCCGCCCCGCACACCCCATTCCCCCGACCCACCTGGCGGTTGTGAGGACGGCTAAGCCCCTTGAAGCTGCGGGCGCGGCCGGGCCAGCGGAGCCGCTGCCTCGAGCCAGGAGGTGACTGAGCGTTGCCGGGTGGCTGTGATGGGTGCGTGTGATGACAACGCACGGGTGTTGGAAGCATTCCCTAGGGGTGAGGTGTAGCAGGGGGCCGGTGGCCTTGGGGGAGGCCGAGGGTCGTTGGCCAGGGCCAGTGGGGCAGCCTGGTCGCTGTTGTCCACATCTGGGGCTCACAGGGGAAGACATTTGGGGCGGGGGCCAGCAGGGCCTCCCCCTTCCCTTGGAAGGACGCCAGTCTGGCATTCCAGCCTCTGGACTCAGCACTGGAGCAGGAGGGCCCCCCTGGCTCAGGACCACTGTGGCCCCTCGGGTCCGAGGAGCCCCTGGTGCCCCCTGCAAACCTGTCTTGTCCTCTGTGACACGGTGCTGTCTGCACCCCAGCATGCCATCTCCTGTCACGCCTGCCCTGTGGGCCGAGTCTCCAGGTAGCAGCCGTTGCCTGGTGGCTCAGAGACCAAAGGGGTCTTAGTGACAGTAGGGAGATGGGGAGGGACTGACTTGGCCGGGGTGCTGCCGCCACCTGCTGGGCACGGCAGGAATTGCCGAGGCTCGGCCGACCCCGTAACAGGAGAAAGCAGGGACCCCCGCCCCAAGTGAGCTGAGGACCCCGGAACAGCGTGGCTTGGCCTCAGACTCTGAAGCGAGCACTGCCACCAGAGAGGTGCATGGACTTAACAGTGTGTGGACGCGTGTGGGCGTGTGTGTGTGTGTGTGTGTGTGTGTGTGCGCGCGCGCGCGCACACGTGAGCGTGCAAAGCCCTCCCCGGTCCCCGCACTCTGCCTGGGCCCCGCTCGTCCAGGCCAGCGGGTGAGGACTCTGGGTAGCGACCTCTGCTTTTGGGACAAGAGCAGCCCGGGCAGCCCGCCTCCCTGAACCCCCAGGCTCACAGGTTGGGTCCAGAATCTGTTTTGTGCAGGCACCTGGCCCCTTCCTCTGCTCTGCCTCAGAGGTTGGGAGCTGCTTCCTTGTCTAAACCTGGCCCTGCCGGGCGGCCTGTACAATCAGAGGGCCACTTGATGCTGTTCAGGGCAGGGGAGGGCTTTACCTGCGGTTCTCACTGGCGCTGATGTTCTGATTCAGACTCAGGCCCTGGCAGGGGCGGTAGTAGGGGGAGTGCCCCCCACAGGGTGATTAGGGGGATGGGTACACCTCCTGGGTGAGGCGACACGACAGAGCCACAAAGGCTCCCTCTCAGGGGCATGAGTATCCTGGGTTTTTTTTTTCTCTTGTCTTTTTTTTTAAAGGAACATTTACTTATTTATTTATTGGCTGCGTTGGGTCTTCGTTGCTGCGCGCGGGCTTTCTCTAGTTGCGGCGAGCAGGGGCCACTCTTTGTTGCAGTGCACGGGCTTCTCATTGCGGTGGCTTCTCTTGTTGCGGAGCACAGGCTCTAGGCGCGCGGGCTTCAGTAGTTGTGGCACACGGGCTCAGTTGCTCCGCGGCATGTGGGATCCTCCCAGACCAGGGCTTGAACCCATGTCCCCTGCATTGGCAGGCGGATTCCCAACAATTGCACCACCGGGGAAGCCCGAGTGTCCTGTTCTGCTGCCGGGAAATCATGGCCACACAAAGCAAGTCGGCCCATGAAGGTGCAGCCAGGAGAGCCTGTGCTGAAGCAGGCCAGCTCTCCCTGGGGCACCGAGGCCGCCACCTGTAGAGCTTACCGGGAGGCCAAGGTTGTGGGCAGTTAGCGGACTGTCCCCTTCAGTGACAGGCAGGCCCTGTTAATACCAGGCTTCTGTGGGGCAGTGTCTGCTGTGCCGGCCTCAGGCATTGAGTTGCCTCCGAGCCAGGTGGAGACGGGTGATTCCACACTGCAGCCACCCACTGCGGTGCGGCAGGTCACAGGCCTGGGCAGGGCAGGAGTCTGGGAAGTGCTGAGCCCGCAAGTGCTTGGAATCACTGCATGTCCCCTTTCTGAACTTCCATTACCCAGAACTGGGCGCCCCCGGGCTGCGAGAAGTTAGGGAAGTGCCTGATGCCCCCGGAGTCTGTCCCAGAGAAGTGCTCCTGGCCCCACTAGCACCGGCTTGGGCTCAGGACAGGCCTGGGCGTAGGAAGGCTCTGGCCTCAGGGCTCCTGTGCTGGAAGAGCCCCAACTCCCTCTGCCCTGACGGCTGCCAGACGGACGGCACCTGTAGCCAGCAGCAGGACCTGCAAGAGTACGCCTGCTGCAGCCCGGCCCTGGAGCCAGCTCCCAGCCCGCCGGGCCTGCCTGGCTCTGCAGCCGCAGGCTCACGCCAGCCCCTGAACCGGAGGCTGCCTGCCTCATGTCCGCCCGCTCTGCTCCAGCTGCCTTCCAGCTGCCTCTTCCAGGGCCTGAGCTCTGCCCCAGGACCCAGAGGCCGGACTCGCCGTGGCTGCCCCTGCAGTCCCCTCAGGACTTCAACCCTGGTGTCAAGGGCGGCCGTGCCAATCCTGTGTTGCCCCTTGGCGCTGCGCACAGGGGATACCCCAGCGCCCCTCCCCCGCGTACTTCCCCCACCATGGTCGAGGGGTGTGAACATGAAGGGGGAGATGGCCAAGGGCCTCCCTGTCCCGGAGGAGCCTCGACAGCCAAGGCCTCCCCAGTCCAGCGCGGACAGCTGAAGCCACCAGCTTCCCTGGAGATGAGGACTCCCAACCCCAGCACACTGTGGGGCCTGCCTGTGCTTCAGCACTCCCGTCCTCGGGCCCAGGGTGGCAACGCCTGAGGGTGAGCCCATTCACCAGCGGAATCAGGAGAGCCTGAGCAGGACTGTGAACGGCCTCCAGGGACTTCCCCTTAGGGCTCGTGGGTCGTTTCCATGGTGTGGAGTTTCCACTCTGCAGACTATCACACCAACTCTGTACTGTTGTAAAACTTGGGAAATTATGAAGAGAACAGGTTTAGAATAAAGTAACGGGCATTTTAGCCTTTTGTTTTTAAATGACATTCTATTTGGGGGAATTTGTCCCCCCTGGGTACCACGGTGGGGGCTGGAGTGGGCCAGGCCAAGCATTCCATCACTCCCTCCTCCGCTGCCCTGCCCCAGCAGGCCCCGGGGGAGCCAGGCAACAGACGCCTGGGCTTCCGCCTCTGGCTCGCCCCGCCCCCGGCCGTTGGTTCTCTGAACTGCTCCCTTCCGGGCCTCTGCGCCGTGCGCCCCGTGCGCGCGCTGGCGCCCTCGCACCGCGCTGCAGGAGCTCAGCCGAGACCCGCCGGGGAGGGAAGAGAGCGGGAGAGGCAGTGCGCGCCGCCCGAGGCCTGGGGTCCCGGCCACAGCTGCGCCGAAGACCTGCGGGCGCTCTCGGCTCGGCCGAACCGGGCGAGGATTTCCCCTACAGTCCGGCCGGGGCTGCGTAGACGCCGTACTCCATCAACCCTGACTCGCACCTGGGCCCCGTGCGAACGTCCTTGAGGCGGGGACCCTAGTGTTCTGGGCACAAGAAATAAGCACGTGTCTTAAGACCGACCGCACTTCAGATTCGATGAAATACGGTACCTCCTACGGGAGATGGTGGGCCCCGCCCACCCGAACCCAGACCCTTTCCACGCTGGCGCGGAGCCGCCTTGGGCTCCCGGCCCCGCCCCCTGGGGGGGGCTCCTCCCCCACCCCGCGCAGGCGCGGAGCCTACTAGCCGGCTCTTGCCCTCGAGACGCGCGGATGCTGAGATGGCGGATTCCGAGCTGCAGCTGGTGGCACGGCGGGTCCGCAGCTTCCCCGACTTCCCCGTCCCCGGCGTGCTGTTCAGGTACGGGCAGCCGGGCCACGTGGGGCGCGCGGGCGGAGGAACGGAGGGACGGACCGGGCCGCGCGGCCCGGGATGTCGGGGCGCGGTGGGCTCTGCGTGGGCCCGAGAGTCACCAGGCCTGTCCTTGCGTGCCAGGGACATTTCACCCGTCCTGAAGGACCCCGACTCCTTCCGCGCCTCCATCAGCCTCCTGGCTAATCACCTGAAAAAGGCCCACGGCGGCAGGATCGACTACATCGCGGGCAAGTGGAGCGTCAGGGCTCCGCCGGGTCCCCGGACTCTCCCTGGTGCTGCTCGAGTCTGCCATGAGGGCACAGTGTCGGGAGTCCTTTACCCTGGGCAGGGTGGCTTTGGGGGTCTTTTAGGGGACCCGCCGGACGCCCCAACGGTGCTTGGGTTGTAAGAACAGACCCGCTGCCCCATCCCGACTTTGCAGCCGTGAGAGGGGCGACAGGCCCCTCCAGCGGCCGGGGAACGCCTCTGCTGGGTGGGTGCCGGCCGCGGGGCTGAGGGCAGGCACGACAGGTGGGGGTGTCTGACCAGAATCCACTGGGCCAAGCATGCTTTCTTGTTTTACCGGCGGGTATTGAGCGCCTGCCGTGTGCCAGGTCCTGTGCCCAGTGGTGGGTTTTAGAAAAACCCAGGAGATCGTGGAAGATCCTGGCGCAGGTCCTGTTTCTCTTTGAGAGCCCCCCCCCATACTCCCTGGTTCTTGGATACTCTGAGGGGCCACAGCACTGCCCTGGAGGCCGGAGGGCTCCAACTGGTTGAGTCCTGCAGAGGATTCTTCCCTTCAGAAGCTCTTCCTCCCTAACCACACTCGCACGTGGGGAAGAGGCCCTTGAGTTCCCCCATCATCACAACTCAGTCCACCCCCGGAGGTGGACTGCCTCTCCTTCTGGACTAGAGCTCCTGGGGCAGACGCTGAACCATCTGCTAAGGGCGTTTCAGGTACCACCAGCCACTGGTGAGCAGCTGAGCTTTGGAGAGAGATCAGGTGACTTGCCCGAGCCCACACAGCTATTTACGCTGCTGTGTACGGAGTGGCTCCTGACCTCTAGCACCTAGCAGTCCCTGTGTGGTAGGTGATCTGTCAACATTCCCAAAGTGGTTGGATGTCACTGGTCTTTCATCTGGAGGCAGCAAGGCTGTGTGTCCTGTGTTGTGATGGCTACTTGTCACTGTTCAGCCCTGACCCATGGGGACCCCAATGCTACTGTACCACGCGGCTGCCCCCCAACACCCCAGGTCTCGCCGACAGGCCTAGACTCCCGTGGCTTCCTGTTTGGTCCCTCCCTGGCCCAGGAGCTGGGCTTGGGCTGCATTCTCATCCGGAAGCGAGGGAAGCTGCCAGGCCCCACTGTGTGTGCCTCTTACGCACTGGAATACGGGAAGGTGAGAAGCCTGGGGGCTGCCTCTGTGGACCCTCCATTCCCAAAAGGAGAGTCGTGGACTCCAGTGGAGCTGCCGTGGTTGGTTGGAGTGGACATGGGAACTCAGACTGAGAAGCTGGGCCAGGCTGACAGAGCCAGGAGACAGGGTGGGTTGGAACTGGGGCCCAGGGGGTGGCCCCTTGTCAGTTCCCCAGCTCTGCACACTAAGGCCCTTTTGGGGAAGCTGGTAGATCACGTGCCCGCTTGCTTCTGCAGGCTGAGCTGGAGATCCAGAGGGACGCCCTGGAGCCAGGGCAGAAGGTGGTGGTGGTGGATGACCTGCTGGCCACTGGTGGTGAGGGCCCGGCCTCAGGGTCTGGCGGGGGTGGGCGATGGGTCTCAGCACTCTAGCTTCCCAGGGCCCGTCTCCACACCACCCCTCCCTCCCCAGGAACCATGCGTGCAGCCTGTGAGCTGCTGGGCCAGCTGCAGGCCCAGGTGCTGGAGTGCGTGAGCCTGGTGGAGCTGACCTCTCTGAAGGGCAAGGAGAAGCTGGGGGCTGTGCCCTTCTTCTCTCTCCTGCAGTACGAGTGACCCCGGCCCCAGCCCTCCACCAACTGGAAGAGAAGAGGATCAGCCTTTGGGGCAGGGCGGGGCGGGACTTGGGCGTCTGTGGCTCAGTATTTTCTTCTGAGCGGGGCTGCTACCTGGGGGGGGGCCTGCTGGGGCTTCTGGAAGCCCCAAGGCCTGGAGCTGCAGGCTCATTGACAGTGGAATGAGAATGAGAATAAACTGACTTTCTAGAGCGGAGTCTCTGCCCCAGTGTCAGTGTGGGAACGTGCAGGGGCCACCGGCAGGCTGGGCACTTTCTGACATTAGCGTTTGGTGGTTCTCAGTCCTGTGAGCCGCCGTATGCACACACGGGCAGCCCACCCTGGCTTCCCCTGCCGCTGTAACTCATCACGCACGCGTGTGGATTTGAAACAACTTTTATCTTACAGTTCTGGAGGCCAAGTACAAAAACCAGGGTGTGGGTAGGCAGGGCTGGTTCCTTCTGTGGGCTCCAGGGGGAGCCTGTTCCCTGGCTCTCGGCTCCTGGCATCCCAATCTCAGATTCAGCATGTGCCTGCCTCCCTCTTACGAGGGCCCTGTGTGACACCCAGCCCACCCAGATACTCCAGGACCACCTCAGGATCCCACGTGGACACCTGGGAGGGTTATCTGCCAGCCACACTACCCTCCCTGCACCCTGTGTACGAGGGGGGCCTCCACCACACTGGCCAGAAGCCCTCGAGCGAGCCCAGCAGCCTCAGCCCTGACCCTCACGGGGACTAGGGACAGGGAAAGCAAAGTGCGTCGTGTTCCTAGTGTAAGTGAGACACAGGCCCGGCGGCCCGACAGTGTTGGCACCTGTCCGCCGGGCTCACAGCGCCTCCTCGGCACGGGCAAGGCGGGCCAGCTGTGCCATGACACCTGCCAGGTCAGCGGCCTTGTCCAGCTTGACGTAGGTGTCAGTGCGGATGCGGTGGAGGCTGAGCCAGTTGGGCAGCAGCTCAGAGAGGAGCTGCACGTGCTTCTCCATCTCCCCTGCGGAGAGGGGGCACGTGAGGCTGGGGGTCAGGGCCCTATGAGACCTCCCAGGACAAGATTGGGAAGGACTCCAGTAGTGACCACACAGCCTTGCCAAGGAGCTGACCCTACCGTGGAAACCCCACAATGGGAGGCGCCCAGCAGCTGAGGTACCAGAGACCTTGGAGGCAACAGGCAAGTCCTATGGGGCCTGGGGGCCGATGGAGGGACCACAGGGGAAACAAGGCTGGGTCGGGTCGATGGGGTGGGAACAGCCCCTCAAGGCTGCAGGAGGCAAGGGGGCCAGACAACCTCAGGTGAGCCCAAGGGTACGGTGCCCGCCCTCACCTGGGACCTGGGGAGGGCCCTGCACGTACCGGGGCTCATGGCTGCGCGGTAGCTGCCCACCATCCTGGCGCAGGCCACCTCCATGGTAAGCGCTGGCTTGCGCTCCGACACGAAGACACTGCGCAGCACACGGGCCAGCTCGGGCAGCCGCTCGAGCCGCTGCAGCCGCAGCTCCTGCTCCGGGCGCCGCGTCATCTGCGCCAGCTGTTTCTGCGCCTCCTTGGCCCGGACCTGCAGCAGGCATGGATGGTCAGGGGACGTCTGCCTCACCCCTCGCCACCACCCCGCGGGGACGCCAAACACTCACCCGCTCCAGCAGGGCCTGGGACACCCCCTTCAGAGCGGCAGGCGAGGTGGCCGGCGGGGTGGTTGGCAGTGCCGGGCTGGGGGACTGGGGGCTGCTAGGCTGGGCCGTGCGCTGGGCCAGGTCACTCAGAGCCTTCTCCATCTGAAGCAGGTCAGAGGGGAGAGGTCAGGAGACGCCTCCCTCCGGTTCAGCCACAGGGGAGGCTCCTCACACCCCGCCTGTGTGGACCCCCCCAAGAGTCCTTTGTCCAGCCCAGGGTCACCCCAGCACATCGAGAGCCTGTGCTCACCGCCCCGGGGCAGAGCCTGCCGGTGGGCGCTGCTCCGCTTGTGGGGAGAGCAGGTCCAGCTACCCTGAGGCCCACGGCCAAGGGTGGAGCCTGTCAGGCACCAACATGGGGGTCAGGCCGCCCCGCACCAGCCTTACCCTGGGTGACATCAGGCTGCGGGCACGGGCCAGCACCTCCTGGGCGGAGGCCAGCTTCTCCACAGTGGGCGGCTGGGGCAGCTCGGCTGGCTCGACGTCAGGCACTTCGTCCACATTGAAGCGGGGGTGCCAGCGTGTCAGCTGGTCCTCAGGCACCTCCATGGGGGGGTTCAGGGAGGCCAGGAAGGCCTGTGTGAGAAGGGGGGGCACCAGCTGACCCTGGGCACATCTGCCTGTGGGTGTAAAGAGCTGTCCGGGTTCCTGTCCCAGCTGGGCAACCTCGGGCAAGTTACTTCACTTCTCTGAGCCGCAGGTGCTCAGCTGGGCTGAGGGTACAGCACAGGGCACCCAGCGGCACCCACTGGACTCTCCCCAAGCTTCCCGGGGCCAGAGGCTACCAGTCTCGAGCTCCCTGCTTGTCTGCTCAGGGCCAGGGTCCCCGCCCAGCCCCGCGCCTGCCCACGTGTAGAAGACAGCCGTGGAGAGCGGTTAACTGAACTCTAGAGTTCAGCCTCGGGAGGAGCCCATTTCCCGCGGCGGCAGATGGGGCCGCGACAGCAGGGACAACATGAGGACCTGAGCTGGGGGACCCGCTCACCCTGTGATGCTCCCGGACTCGGGCTACCAGCTTCTGGGTGAAGACCTGGCGCCGTTGCAACAGGTGCGACGCCGTGAGCCGGGGGGCCGCACTGCCAGCCTCTGTGGGGAGAGTCCAGGCCTGAGCCCCAGGGCCGAGCCTACCCAGTCACCCAGCCCACCCCCACGGGTCTCAGACAAGGCCCAGTGCCTGAGGCCTTACACCCACGCTGAAACTGTGCAGCGTCCTGGGCAAGAACCCGAGGCCCAACACACTCACGCTGGTCCAGCAGCGGCTCGATGGTGAGCTGGTAATCAGACCTCCTGACGCCATCCTTGAAGGTGGGGATGTAGTGCTCCTGGCGGAAGCGGTAGGAGCCAGGGTACACGGTTTTGATCTGGCCCACGTTGCGCTCCTCAAAGCGCCTACAGGACGAGGGTGTGGGGGGTCAGAGAGCTGGGGTCGGAGGGCGCACAGACTCCAAGGGCAGGATGAGGCCCTCAACCCCCAACCCCCGGCTCACTTGTGCATCATGTCCTGGACGCCCTGCTTGACCTTGGTGAAGGTCACAGTCTCAGAGCGGTTGTAGAGCATGCTCACGATGGTGTCCATGCTGCGGAACATCTCGGCCAGCACCTGGTACTTGTAGGGCAGCACAAGGCCCGGGGGCCCCGGCTGGGCCAGGGCATGGAAGCGCTGGTAGGCAGGCATCTGCTCACCACTGCCAGGGAGGGAGCGGGACGTGAGAGAATCACCACACCCACCCCCTCCGGAAGACCCCAGAGCCTGGGGTTCCACCCCCAGGGCGCACTGCCCACCAGTTTACAAAGCCCCTACACGCCCACTGTCTCCTGGTCACGAGCACTACCAGGGACAGAGACAAAAGCCTGGCCTCAAGCCCAGCTGTCACCCAGGGCGGTCCCCGACCATCCCCAGCCCTGGCTTCCTTGTCTGTAAGAGACATATGATAACTACGTGACCTGGGAGGACAGACACGACGCCAGGCAGCAGGTCCCGGTAACTGCTGGCTGTCCGGGTGGTCTGCAATTCGCAGGAGCTGGCCCTCTCACAGACGGAGGCCGACACAATTGCACCGCGCCGACCCCTTGGAGGACGCGGCCCTCCCCGACCCGAACCACCACAGCCCGGCCCCGCCAGGCCTCCCACCAGGCCACCCCTTCCTGGGTGCCCAGCCGCCCTCCCTAGACTCACCACAGCCCGGCTGGGTGCCCCTTGTCCTCCGGCGCGCTGGGTTCCCCGGCATTCTTCTGTGCACTTGCCTTCAGCTCCTGGACCCGTGCCCCCAGCTCCTGTGCCCGCTGCAGGCACGACGCGAGCTCAGAGAGAGTGACTTTGGAAGGGACCTGCGGACACAGTGCTGTCAGCCCGCCTGTCACCCCGGGCCAGTCCACCTCCCCTGCCCTCAGTCCAGCCTCACCTTGTCCTCGTCCTCCTGGGCTGCCAGGCAAGGTCGCTGGCTGGCTGAGAGGGGGGCCTTCTTTGTCTTCTTGCTTTGGGGAGAAGAGTACTCTGGGGAGCCAGCGGCAGCTGGGGAACTAGGGCCAGAGACCTGGTGGGAAAGACCCCAGCGGTTCTGAAACCACAAGACTCCGGGGTGCACCATCTCGCAGAAGGCCTGAGCCCTCGCCCACTCTTGCAGACGAACCTGGCGTTTACCAGTCCGCTGGGCTCTGGCCCTCCCCCAGCGTGTGTCAGATCAGGCAGCCCCCCCCCCCACGCTCCCCGTCAGTGGAAGTCCTCTGGAAGGGAGGCCCCGCGAAGTTACGGGACCCCGCCTGCCAGGTGCGCGTGAGTTGGCCCTAGCCCCTCCTCCCGCGGGGGGCCTGGGTTCCACCCGGGTCGGTGCCCTCCTCCAGGGCAGGTCTCTCCAGCAGCCCCGCCCCCGCCCCACCCGGGCCGGCTCACCGCTCCACCGGTTCCCTCCCGTCTGTCTCCCTCCCAGGCCTCAGTTTCCTCCTCCCCTCCGCGCCCTCACCGCGTTGGCCGGCAGCCGCAGCCTCCTGCGCGCGGGCGGTGCAGGCTCGTCGCGCGTGGGCTCGGCGGGCGAGCGGGCGCGCTTGCGGCCGCTGCCGGGGCCGGGGGCCGGGGCGCGGGGCGCGGTCTTGGCGGGACTCGGGGTGCGCCAGGCCGGCTTGGTGCGCGTCGGCTTGGCCCGGAGCCCAGGACGGCGGCGCGCGAAGAAGTCGGTGAGGCGGCACTGCGCCATGGCGGGAGCGGCGGGAGCGGCGGGACGGGGGCTGCAGGACCACGACTGCAGGACCACAGGCGGAAGTGGAGCCGCTTTTCCCGCTGATTTTCGCGCCGCGCCCTGGCCCCGCCCCGGCCGTAGGCGGAACCATCGGCGCCTTGGCCAAGGGGGTTGGCGCAGTATGGACGGGCCCGGGCGCGTGCGCGCTGGCCCTCTCGGGCTGCGCCTACCGCGCATGCGCCGCAGCTAGGGTCTCGGTTATTTGGTGGTCCGTGTGCCGTTTCCCGAGTGCTGGATGGGTCTGCACCGGGCGGCACGGTTCCGGGTGGCCGTCGAGCCAGTGCTGTCCTGGCAAAGAGGAACATGCTA